TACCCATTCCTGGCTGTCGAACGAAAGATGTCGGAAGTTGAAAGCGAGCGCAATTAAGCCGTGCCTCTTTGGGATCCCCATTCATTTTTCAAGTAACGTCGTCGAATACCCTCATCTAAGTTTTAAATCGCGCGGCTTTCGGCATGCAACGGAGTCGAAGTCACCGGCACCACAATCCATGGAAAAGGTTACGATTTACGGCAAGTGGGATTCGTGTCGATGCCGTGAATTACTCGCGGGCTAATTACGTACGGGTTTGGGTATCCAATACGGTACTGGTGATTCCACGACACATAAAAATTCATGAAACAAGCCTTGGACAAAATAGCGTTTCTTCCTCCGTATTTCTTCTTCTTTTTCCCTTCTTACACGAATCGTTGATTTCGTTGGTTCGATATTGTATCTTCGTATATCGTAATTCCAAATATTCGATTATTCTTATGTTAATATTATCAGCATTGTTATTGATTATTTGGGACGTGGTTGAAAAGACTTCTGGAAATGTATTCCGAGAGATAATCTCGACTATCTATCGTGAAAGAAGTTTCTATCGCGTGAAATACAAAGAGCTGTTACCGTTTCGTTTCTCAAAGAATAAACTGTGCAATCGCGTCGAATGAATTCCCATTTAAACGCGAAAAATACATTACGCTCGATATAAGACGGCACTAATCCGTGAAAAACGTGCTTGTTCCATTCGCCGATCGACAGGATGGATTTATGGGGCAAATCCTTGATAAGGTTTACGTCCTCGATCGTATCGGTGTTTGCTATCAGTCCTGGGTTCGATACATTGTTCCTTTCGCGTGAAGGAACTCCACGATACAAATAAATATAATGCAGTTACTGGAAATATCATCAGCTCGCTCGAACAACTCATAGCTTCGCCATTTCGCGGATAAGGATTTATTTCCTCTGCCCGTTCTCCTCTCATTCGTCGTCCTTCCTTTCTCCGTTTTGACCACTTTATTCAATGGATAAAAGACGAAAGAGGTTAAAGGACGAAAGGTACTGCGACGACGTATAAATATGATAGAAAGTTTGATGGAACTTGGTTCGCAATTTACTAAGAAATAAAATTTCGTAATAGTAACAATTGGATGTGTGTGTACGATGTCGAATATGTTTACAATTCTTTTCTCGACTTATATTATAGAAATATCTAATTATTTTCATAAATTGATACTTATTGTGATAATGGCCAAATTTTCCCTACTATAGCATACCTTCATTATATTATTAAAATAAGCAATTTTTGAAAAGGAAAGCTTAAACGAGAATTTGTTAATATGTAATTATCTTCATTTTGTTGTTTTTTTTTAATAAATAGAGACATATATCAAGCGCTAATACAGTAATAAATACAGTATTCATTATTTGAAAATGTTATAAATATATAAGTATCAAATCATCGCTTCACGAAAAGTAGAAATTTTTCTACTTTCTATCAAACGCAAAAGAAAATCTTACGAAAAGCTAACTTCGTTAAGAAAGGATGAAATAGTCGCAATTCTTTTACGAGTTCCAATCTAAGATTTCGCGAAGAAACTGAATATAACGAAATTACCAGCAATAACATTAACTTTATCAGGCGGCTCGTGCCGTGGCTATTTCACCGACGAAGACCTCCGTTTCACCCTTCTTTATCCCGCTAATCAGCGCGGGATATCCAGGGTTGCCGAGAAGTAGACTGACCTGAAACGGCCAGCAAACGATATAAGGATACGGTTGGATTCAGTCTGCAGTTCATGTGTTTGCGAGTTAAGCATGGACGAGGTTGTTTGTACAGACGTGCTCGACGTAGTGAATTTGCGACTACGTGCACGTCACTCGTGCGTTAGTGCCGATAGGCTAACTAGAGAAAGAACCCACCAGTTCGATCAATGCTAATCTATTTAAATCAGTATTCTATGAAACGAGAAAAGATATAAAACGTAGAGTCGGTATATCATCTTCCTAACTTCCTTTTTAATTTTTTGCATGCAAGGAATTCTTGATGAAGTTTTTTGAAACCAAGAGTTACGTTTCGGAAAGAAACTACCTTCTTTCCTTTTCTGTATTTTATAAATGAGAGGCAAATTGTGCGAATGGTTCCAATAAAGTACACAGGACTAAAAGAATGAGGATCTACGGAAGGAAACGGGAAGAAAAGGATCTGCAGTAAAATCACAAAAGAATAATGTCCTACAATTTTACAGTGAATTGCAAAGTGGACACATTTTATATTTCATACAGAATTTAAATATTTTTCTAAAGATCAATTTATCCATTTCACTGGGGTAGACGTTTTCGATATTGTCTATATGCAATCCCATAATGGTATACGAGAAGGACAATTCGCGTACAGTTCTACGTGTATCTGAACACGATGTGTGTCCGATCGTATTTCCGTATGTGGGTCAGACTCACGAGGGAGGCGAGCTCGAACCATTGTTAACAGGAAACTCTGCATTCGGAACCGGACGAGACTTTCAACGGCGAAAAGAAGGTTGAAAAAGGGAGAGATCGTCGCGGTTGGGATGAGTCAAGAGGCCGGAGATAGTGCCTCGCTCTGATATCTCAAATCCATTCCTGCTTCATGCCACAAACCGTGGACAACCGTCGACTTTCACGATCTTCCCTATTTTTTTCCTTTTCCCCGTGTTTCTCCCTTTTCTAACCACTCTCCCATCTCACACGCGAACCAGACGACACTTTCGAAAAACGTCGACCGCGAAACGAAACCTTCGCCGCGTTTCCAGTGAACTTTTGCTCCAGAATTTCCGCTTGCATCATGAAATACGATCAGAGAAAAGTATACTTTTACGGAATTATGATTTTGAATGGATTCCGCGTTGACTGATGTTTGACGGGAACAATTCTTTTTATTCGAAGTTATCGACAGTGTTACAAGCTATAGGAAATACACATTATTTAATCGTTTCTAAGGTTTAAATTTAAATTGCGACGAGTGTGAGACTCGGAATAGGTGCTATCGATTCTTATATTCGCGATTATGTAGAGGCTGTAAATTTGCAGAATTATTTGCGAAATAAAGTTTTTAAAGTCTTTGCTTTATTAACGAAAGACAATCGCGGTGTATTACGTTTTAGTGTCCTTCCTGTTTTATTCTCGCTGTGATAACCTATTCAATTTTTACGACAGTCTACATTGTTCCAGTAGTACACGGCCTTCCTTTCTTTTATTAATCTTGTTACCGCTATGGTGTCGTATTTTCCGTGTGATTTAATGCTAGCAACGTCTCTCTATATTAAGAAATCTTCCCTCGTAAATAAATAAACGTACATACGATCTCATAAGAACATATATAAAATCTTCTAGTCAATAATAATAATAATTATTATATTTTAGGACAAATACTTAAACGAACATGCTCAAACTATTTTAACAAAAAGAAAAAGAAATTATAATAATTAGAAAACAATCACGTGGCACATAAAACGAAACAATCGAAACATCTGACATTCATCGTCAAAAGCGAGATATACGGATAGTTCTAAGCTTTAAACTACAAGAGCAATCGCAAATAAAGAGACGGTAAACCCGAGTGGTAGACAACTATTTTCCCCGTATAATGCTTTCGAAACCAGCTGTACGTTCGTCCACTATGTCAATTTTATGTCCCGGAACAGACGAAGGGTAGAGAAAAAGGCAAATCGTAGTCGTTATTACCAATTACCAAACCGTTAATTCTATTTACGTTATCACCAGAACGTGGAACGATTTCGGCCGACTACTACCAACTCATAAATCAAGCTCAAGTACCATTATCTGTCTCATACACCGAGGCCGATGAATCGCGACGGCTATTATCGAGGCGATAGAAGCCGGAGAAGTTCGCACAATAACGCGTAATGGTCCGCGCAGTCTCGCCAAAGGTCGATAAAGGCTAATTAGCAGAAATTCTCGTCTCAGGTGGTCCTTCTACCGATTCCTAATCACTTAACCGGCGCCGAGTGGGGGCGTCTCGAGAGCGTTCCAGGATGTACAACGCGACGAGAAGGGATTTAACACGACCAATGTGATACGTGGGCCACGTTCAGTTGCCAAAATTCTGATTAGCTCTCGACTGCCAACGTATTTGCCAACGATTCAACCGTGAGACGTGCCACTTCGAATACTGAGATTGCCCGTTTCAGTCGTATCAACGCTTCTCAGAGAATCATCACGGATAATAAAAGAGAAACAAAATTTTAGAATTTGTAATTACAGTGACTTGAATTCGTCTTTTTCTATTACGAAACTATCTGCTAGACAATAATACCCGAAAGAATTTGGAATTTTCTTATGCTAAAGTTAGATAAAGATTTCAGAATTTTATTATGTTCTCAAACAAAAATGTCGCGATTTGACTATTCAAAACATATTACTTCTCCCCTAATACTATCAAATACAAACAAAAACAAATGTTTTACATAAATACTAAACCTTAAAATCTACATTTTGTTTTATTTTAATTGAAGAATTACTAATCCTTAAAAAATAAAAAATTTTAGAATTCCTAAGAATTCAGTACAATAATATTTGCTCACTAAACGTGCGAGTCAAATGATAGACGCATAAAGCAAACGCGAACGTATCAGAATCACTGAAACGATAAACGTCCTGAATCACGGGATTTACGGGAGGTGTGAGCTTTTTACAGTCATTGGCCCTGTCAAATATCGCGTTCGAGTCGGATTAGGGCAACACACGTAAAATAAGCAAAACGCTGAATCAAGCAATGTGTCGGTCGCGTTGGCACGCTCGCCAAAAATGATGATTCCTATGGTCTCGCGGCAATGATTATCACCCAGGCTGCCCGCCTGGACCGTGACGAGAAAACCGAGCGAAGCAACACGCTCAATGATTTCGCCTGCGAGCGAGTTCTGACACGCGACAAACTGTCAGTGATATACGATTTTGGTGTCGAATGTTTGTCACCATGAGTTTCGTGGTCTGCGTACGTCGTGATTTACGCGTACTGTCATTAATCAACATCATTCGGTGCGTGTACTCACCGGGCCGAACTGTTCGAAGTAGTTTTTCACGTCCTCCAGCGTCGTCGGTGCCGATAGTCCACCGACGAATATCTTCTTTGTCCTTGTCACCATCTATAAGCAGAAAAAAATTATTCGATGTTATTAATGATATCTTGAAAATGTTAGAGAACATATACAGCGATCAGAAAATAATGTTTAAGAAATTACTCTGTGGCGATAGTAAGAAAATGTAGCATGTATTAATACACGAACGATGTTCCCTTAAGAAATCATTAAAGTAGCAAGAACATAATGAGTATACTATAGATGTTTGTTCATTCACGAAACATTTTGAAGTGCAAGAATTTTCAGAATGCTCGTGACATTCAATAATATGTAGAATATCTAAAATATAATACACATCATAATATTTAGTATATTTAAATTCTTCCTTTATTTGGCTACCATTCTTTAAACATTATTTCTAATTATGTTTATAGAGATATGAATACCAGAGTTTAGTGATAAGAAATAAAATAACAGAATTATTATATATTATCATATTATTATATTTCTTTATATTTACGCGATACGAAAGAATATTTATACATGTATACAAGAGTTCCTGGAATACAGTCAGTTCGTTTCAAGTTATTCAAAACAATATTATGCGGGACTTAGAGTTCATATAAATGTAATAATTAAGTTTCATGTTATTGTTTGTCGAAACCGTATAACTGAAGTATTATATTATACTCTGCATGCCGTAACTTTTTACCATGTACTACGAATCATCATGTAAAACAAGCACCATGTAATGCTTACCGGTATGAGAAGTTTAAACAACGTTTGAAACAAGTGGTAATTATATAATTATATGAGAAATCATTATGAGAAAACGATGAGGCATGTATAGAAAGAAATTAGATTTTGTTTCGTATATTACGATTCACTGCATCGCATCATATCGAGGATACAAGCCAGGCTATTTCTCGATTATAACGCCTTAAAACTTGTTAATTTATAAAAATATATAAAAATTACTATATAGAACTCGGGAGTAAAGTGCAATAGAACACATCGTTTTAATTTAACATTACCAATTTGCAATAAGATATAAATATTCGTACAAAGTTTTTTCATTACTTTCGTATCACCCATTTATCAGCGAAATGGATTCCACATGTTACGAAACATCCTGCATACAGACGTGATTGTTCGTGTGTTCTGAAAACTATGCCAATATATAATTCCGGCTATAAAGGTTTCAGAAACTTCTGTAAACTTGTTTCAATAGAATAACTATGTCAGAGCTTGTTACTCTCGTAATTTAGACGGCCCATTAACAAGCTTAAAAATAAATTGAACAAGTAATGGCAGTTGTACAGGAAAAGTATAGAATGTGTAACTATTAATTATAAGTTCAAGTAAGTTTATAATTTTTATAGTATCTAAGGATATTTTTTGATGTTTGAATTTGAAAGAAGAGGAACAATAGAATTAGAATGTCTTTCACATTTTGCACTGCAACGCTTCCTAAACGGGCGATCCGAATTTCTGAACACGTATAGACGGTTTTTACAAACAGCTATTGATCGACAGACATATATTTACGTCAACATGGTCGTACACAGTACCGTTAAATCGTACGTGTTCATATTTGGCATGAAAAATGGAACGTACAGGAAACAGGAACGATATTTATTTCCTTTGCGACAACGCATTGAAACTCGTTATCATATTTTCAATAAATTTTGTTAACCGACCGACAAGATAAATTTCGCTAAAAGAGGTTCCTCCAAAGCAACCGTGCAAAATGACGAACGCCCGTATTCACAAAGCTAAAATTGCACATCAACTGTCGAAGAAACAATTTTTCTTTAAAAAATAAGAAAGCAGTTTGAATATTTCTCAAGACTACTTAGTTTTAAATAATATACAAAATTTTATTCGAAAAAGAATTTGAACAGGAGAAAAAAATGTTGTCTTGTAATAAACAATTTATCTTGCTCAAATCTGTAAGTATTTTTTTTTTTTGTTCATTTTCTTCACGACACTAATGGTTAATAAATTTAAGGTACCGAGGATGTTGAAAACGTTTTACCATACGCTTTGAAATATGTTTACTTTGTAGACTTACAAGCACAAAAATGCGCCGGGAATAATGTTCTTTTTAAAGCGTGTTTTGAGGACGAAAGAATTGAAAAGGGATGGTATACAGAGGGAATGGGGAAGACAGCTGAAAAATGGCACGGTTGTGGTTAAGAAATTGATAAGGAGGCTGATAAAATATGAATGGCCCGCGTCGGGCACGCCATGCCGTTTCTACGAAAAAGATCCTTTCAGCGGCGACATTTTTCGTATTTGTTCAAATCGGTAATGTCAATTCACGATCGCCAACACTGTGCCAGAATATTTTACAGAATTTCAATTGAATGGAACAGTGGAACAAAAATGTTTATTACAATTTTTAATACAACGATAAAATTATTAACAAACTGAATTATATCTAACTACTGCATGCGAAATAATTCGAGGGAAGATCTATTGTATGTGTATAAATTAAACCGATGCATCTTTCGATAGTTTGAAATTCATTAACAAAGAGGTAATGTTGCAACATAATTATCCGTGAAATGCGAATCGAACAAAGCCGGCAGGTATTTTAGAATGATAATTTTATAAACGTTAGGATAAAACAACCGTGAAATTTATACGAATAAATTTAAGCAGATAATACGAATAAAGTACCCTTTTTTGCTTTGCGTATAATATCTTCAACCTGATCACAAGTTATCACAATATTTACTATTGTTTATATACGATATTAATATTAGGAAACAAATATTATCGTTGGAAGCTATAAAGGCGACGTATTTTCAAGTTTATTAGCTCAGAAGCACGTGAATTGGTCAAACGTCCTTTGTAATTTTGTGCTTCTTACAACACTGAACTTGGATTTTATACAGACTACTTTTGATTAATATAAATTACATTAAACTCGTTTAAAAGGATTTCATTTTCCTCTGAAGGAACATACGGCTAATGGTTTATACAAATTTTCTAAAAATTGTCAAGGTTAAATAGCCAAAAAGCGAAAAACCGGATTACAATTCACAGGTCCGAACGAGATCTGTACTTTCTTCAATTCATTCCTATTGCGATGCGACAAAAATAAAACTAATACAAGTATAAGGAAGCTCGCACACTGCTCCTACATTGAAAAGTTCGGTAAATAAGGATACGAGCCGCACTCGATAAAAGAGATTTTGAAAACTGTATGAGATACGTTTTCCTTCTTTTCCTCGAAAAGTTGTTTGACGAATTCTAGTGGCACGAAAACATCACGGAAGCCTTTCTTCGATCGTTTTCGACGCTTTGATTCGAGACAAATTGCGATCGTTTAACGAGAAGAAAAGTGAAAAATAAGCAACGATACAGCGAACTGCAAGGATCGCCTCATAAATGATAACGAGAACGCGTTTCGTTGAAATCACGGCAACAGAAACATCGTATCGTGGCGAAACTAATTACCAGTGGTTGTTTCAACGGCAATGCGAAGAGATTGAGGCGGAAAAAAGAGAACAAGAGAGAATGGCATTTAGACGGAGCATCTTAATAACACGATCGCAATATAATAAAGCTGCACGGAGAAAATTTCGCAACGGAAAAACGGCGCTCGCAAGTAGTCAGGCTTCGTTTGGAGAATAGAGAAAGAAGAAGACAAAACGATGGTGTAGATGGAAGAGGCACGACGGGTAGGACGGGAGAATGGGAAAGCTGAATACAGCGGAAACGGCAGAAGAGGTAAACTCTGGTAATTTCAGTGATGGCTGGGCTTAGACCTCTCTATATCCGGTGAGTAACGCAAACCCCTTGGCGCAAGTCCTTCCACCTCGTGGTGCCTGAAACTCAACCCATTCTCTCTCTCTCTCTCTCTTTCTCTCTCTCTCTCTTTCTCTCCCTTTCTCTCTCTCTCTCTCTCTCTCTTTCTAATCTCACCCTCTGGTTCGCGATCATCCCTGTGTCCCTCTCATCTCATGGGAGGCGGAGGATAGCTCGCGATCCTCGGCTGCTTGGAAGCCTGGCTAATCAGCGAAGTGTATGAAGTCCCATGGATGAAAATAAAACTGGCTGGATCTCGAAAATTAAATAAATGACTCGCCTCGATTCCGTCGGCGGAAACGTACCTCGTGAAAGAACTACTGGCAGACGAGGGACGAGAAAGGGGAGGAATAAGTATACAGAGGAGAGAGAGATAGAGAGAGAGAGGTAGAGAGAGAGAGAGAGAGAGAGAGAGAGAGAGAGAGAGAGAGAGAGAGAGAGAGAGAGAGAGAGAGAGAGAGAGAGAGAGAGAGAGAGAGAGAGAGAGAGAGAGAGAGAGAGAGAGAGAGAGAGAGAGAGAGAGAGAGAGAGAGAGAGAGAGAGAGAGAGAGAGAGAGAGAGAGAGAGAGAGAGAGAGAGAGAGAGAGAGAGAGAGAGAGAGAGAGAGAGAGAGAGAGAGAGAGAGAGAGAGAGAGAGAGAGAGAGAGAGAGAGAGAGAGAGAGAGAGAGAGAGAGAGAGAGAGAGAGAGAGAGAGAGAGAGAGAGAGAGAGAGAGAGAGAGAGAGAGAGAGAGAGAGAGAGAGAGAGAGAGAGAGAGAGAGAGAGAGAGAGAGAGAGAGAGAGAGAGAGAGAGAGAGAGAGAGAGAGAGAGAGAGAGAGAGAGAGAGAGAGAGAGAGAGAGAGAGAGAGAGAGAGAGAGAGTAAGTAAGGGAGGGAGACCCGAAGAGATCGGTAGAAGGCCAAACCTCAGGCAGAGAAGAGCTAAACGGCTGTCGAAAAAAGAGGACGAAGCAAACGGACTGAGAGAAAGACATAGATAAATAGCGAGAACGAAAAAAGGAACAGAAGATACACGAAGGCAAAGGGGAACCACTTATTCGAATGAAGTTGCATCAGCGGCAGCTCACTTGCTGCAGCTTGGCCGGAAACACCGAAAGAGGGAATTGAAGTTTCCTGATATCCCGTTTCTACCGCTGTTGAACGGGTATCGGCCTAAGAGCCGGCCGAGCTGCTGAAATTTTATTACGCTACGCTACGCTCGGTTTCATTCCCTAATGAGCGCATTATCGTGCAAACAAGACACTTCA